AACCTTGAAAAAACAAGAAAACCCTATAAGACATTTTATTCAAAAAATCAAGTTTTATGCTATTTCTGACACCCTAAAAAATCACAAGAAAACCCCATAATATGACCTGGTATTTTCTTTAGTTGGTTAAAAGTTTGATGGTGTAGCAACCTTCTTTCGTAGAGGTGAATCTGAACTCGTATCAGGCCTTGACCCGAGCTCAATGCAAATGAAATAAATATGTTGAAAAATGAAAGAAAATTTGTAAAGTTAAATATAGATAAATACCTAGCACAACATTGCTTTTCATATTTGCTTTCCAAAAGCAAATAAGAAACATTTGACCAATTGAAGTTTATATGTATTGTTTAAATATAATTGACTTTGATATTGTATATGTTGTTGAGAATTTTCTTAACATGCACAGTGAAAAATAAATAATTTTTCAATTTACACCAATGATCTGTTTTGTATTTAGATAGAAATTGTGATAAGAATTATACATTTGATGAATTTCACAAGCTCCTTCGTTTTTCTTGAACTTGAATGATCACAATCTGCAATCCAAGATGTCTAATTGTCTAGTCTCCAACGATAATCCACACAGAGAACAAGAATGATGACTAGGGTTTTCTTTTCTTGTGCTAACAAAAATAATGAATAATTGTCTACAGTTTTTCAAATCCTAGCAGCCTATTAATATAAGTCCAAGCGAGGTTGGCCAGTCTCTTAAACTTAACTCGGTCCAATATTTAATTAATCAAATTAATTAAATCTAGTTCATAAATTAATTAATCCATTTAATTAATTCGGACCTATTGACAAGCATCCCAATTTATTAATTGTCCAAAACTTGCTAATTATTTAATTGGTGAATCTCATTCTTCTAGTTCTCTTTTGTGTGTGACTCATTAGATTCCCAATCACGATACTTAACGACGTGAATTACTATTTTGATCAAATCAAAAATCGATAAATTAAAACACTCATTTTAATTTATCACTAATTCACATTCGTCGTCTCAAATTAAAATCTAGCAATGTGTTAGGGCAATACATGTGACGGAAAATGTCACGTGGTGTGACAAAACTAAATTTATTCGTTTATTGTGAAACTATAATCCTTTCGTCAATATGATCGGATCAATTACGAGATATGAATATGTGTCAATCTCAATTATCGATCATTTTTTTTATCACATTGTTAAGTCAATGTAAGATAAAAACTCCTTTTCGACTCATGATTTCACATTGGCCAAAGATTTCATTATCAGTTTAATTGGATAAAATGTAGATCATAACCTCTTACTATCTAAGAGTGACGAATCCTCTATTTATCATTCACAACCTTCATATGATTCTTGACATATCCGAACGATGCCGTATTAGCGACTCTTTGCACAGAAACATCAAATATCACCAAAGTATGACTGTCCTCATATAAGGCATTATGATGACATCAAGTCAAAGGACCAATTTCATTACCGAACGTTAGAGATTAACCACTGACACTATCTAGTTATCCATGTGGAATCTCCCCATCGGGTCTCCAATGTTTTGTTTTATAACAAAACATCTACGTTTTCGTTTAAGCGTCACGACACTTTAGTTTGTGAGATCAGTTACTTACTTTGCGGGTAAAAAATGCCACACACGATGGTCTATCCGTAATAACGATATCCGTATCTCGTTATTATTTCGACCACGGATAATTTAAGATT